GGGTTTACTCCCGATGGGCTGGATTTGAAACCAGTTTATCGGGATGAAACCCTCCCAATGAACTAGGCTGAAGAGCAGCTCATAGGGAGGGTTTCCTCCCAATGAGCTGGATTTGAAACCAGCTCATTGGGAGGGTTTCCTCCCGATGAGTTGCCTCACAGTCCAGCTCATCGGGAGGAAACCCTCCCAATGGTCTGGATTTAAAACCAGCTCATTGGGAGGGTTTCCTCCCAATGAGCTGCTACACAGTCCAGCTCATCGGGAGGAAGCCCTCCCGATGGGCTGGATTCAAATCCATCCAAGAACCAAGCTATCTCGGTTCTTGGCTGGCGTGCAAACCCACCTGCCCCTCCTGGAGGGGCGGGTGCTTCTGCATGCCCCTTGGAAGGCTGTTTCCTCGAACCTGCTTTTGGAGGGGCGTGGGCGTGGGCGTGCGGGGAGGGGGAGGGAGTGCGTTTATCAACACCCTTCTAATTGAACTGTTCAAAATTGGTTTGTCCCCCAATATCCCATTGCTTTTATGACCCCTCTTCACTGTGATGAAATCTCAAGGAACTGCTGCCAGTTGTAATGTAGAAACTCTCTTTTCAAAGTTGGGGTGTTATTCAGATGTTACTCAACCACTACCTCTGTTGGAGCCTAGGGCAGCGGTAAATATACCTGAGGGGTGGTCTCTAGGATCTAAAAACAGATCCAAGTCAGAATCTGAACTTGTATATGGATCAACTCTGCTCCAAGACCACCTACTGGAGGATAGTGGCTCCAAGGGCAGTTTTGACTTAGGACATAATTGGAATGATGTTGTTACGGGTGTTCTGTGGAGAGAAGGGGAGTATCTTTGGTGATGAGATCAACTGGGACTAGCAATGAGATGGCAAGAAGGATAATTCATTGCATTAGTGATGAATGATCATCAAAGAGAAAAAAAGACTTACCCGGGACCAGCAATGAGATGGTGAGAGGCAACGCTGCCACAGATACGGTATCTGCCCGTATCTGCCATGTATCACTATGTATCTGAGCCCCAATAAAAAAAACTATCTGACCAATCTGCTTTTATTTACAAGGAGATTCAACAAATTTGGTTTTTGGCCATGCAGCTTTGCAGAATTCTCCATGATACACACAGTGTATTGTATCTGTGGCAGCGTTGTGAGAGGGATGAGGAACAAAATACTTCCACAGGCTCACTGCTGTCCCAGATGTACTACATGAGCTGTGACATGAGTGTGAAAGGTGTGTAGCACACAAAAGAACAGAGAGTGAAATGGAACATGTGTAAGGACTCCGTCGAGTCCTTCACTGTCCGTCGGAAATGGCACTAGCAAAGGAGCTCAATAGCTCCTACGGAGAAGTTCTAGTACCAAAGTGGGTTTAATTGCAGTCTAGACAGGAGAGAAAGATCTCTCGTTAGTATATACAAATGATAGAAAGTGAGAAAAGGAAATGAGAAGAGGAGGAGGGAAGGCAGGGTACTTACCTAGACAGGAGAGAAAGATCTCTGCTGTCTAGGTGAAGGGGAAGTACGGGACTAAATACAAGGCAGAACTGAGCTTATGTAATCTAGTGACATGTTTGTGTAAGTCATGAGGAGCAGGGCTTACAGTCTCCCCTCCTATAAAAGAAAAGGAAGAAGGGAGAAAATTTAACAGTAACCAGGACAGTAGAAATGAGAAAAAAAAGAATAGAAAGTGGCCTGGAATTGTGGAGAAGAATTTGAGAGTGGTGGCTGATTTGAGGAGGCAACTTAGAAGTACGGCAGAGAAGGGTGGAAAGGAGCTTTCAAATCAAATAGGAGGAGTCAAGAGAGAGAGGGAAAAAAACAGGATTATAATTGGGCCAAGGAAAAAAGGAGGGGGAGGTGAGATTTAATGTAGGGAGTAGAGGGAAAAGAACAGAAATGAATAGATGGAGATTGGCTTCAAAAGGAAGATGAAGATATCAAACATAAAATAACACAGGGTTGTCTGGGATAGAAGTTGGGTCCGGGGTCTTCTTCTTTTTCTTCTTTTTCTTCTTCTTCTTCATTTCAGTCTCATCCGCCTCAAGTGTCTTGAGATAGTTGTCAATGTCCTTGTTAGAGATGGTCGGTCCGCATCCGGATACCCGTTCGGATGCGGATATCCGATGGCAATTTCAGCAAAATTGCACATCCGCATCCGCACCCGCACCCGCTAGCGGGTATCCGTCGGCCGCAGCGGGTATCCGAGCGGGTATCCTCGGATACCCGCCCTCTAAAGGGCCGGTGCCTCGCCGGCTGGAAGGGCTTCCTTCCAGCCGGCCATCTCCTCTCCCGGCCGCGGGTATCCTTTGGGATACCCGGATACCCGCCAGCAATTTGCGGAAAAGGGGCCATCCGCACCCGAATCCGCACCCGCTGGCGGGTATCCGTTGGCACAGGCGGGTATCCGCCAGCGGATAACGGGTATCCGCGACGGATAC